GAAGGGTCTGTTCAGTTCCTTGGCCCATTTATTGATTGGGTAATTTGTTTTTATGGTGTTTAACTTTTTGACTTCTTTATATACCCTAGAGTTTAGTGCTCTATCTGATGTGCAAGTGGTAGAAATTTGATCCCAAAAACTAGTCTAAGATTTCCTCTCACTCCAGTCAGAATGGCAACTATTATGAAGACAAACAACAATAAGTGTTGGTGAGGATGTGGGGAAAAAGGCACACTCATACACTGCTGGTAAGACTGAAAAATGGTGCATAACAATATGAAAAGCACTATGGAGATTCCTTGGACAACTGGGAATTGAACCACATTTTGACCCAGCTATCCCATTCCCTGGTGTATACCCAAAGGACTTAAAATCAACATACTACAGGGACACGGCCACATCAATGTTTATTGCAGCACAATTCACAATAGCTCAATTGTGAGACCAACCTAGATGCCCTTCAGTAGATGAATAGATAAAGAAAATGTGGTATATATACAAACTGGAACATTGCGCAGCAAAAACAGAAAATAAAATCATGGCATTTGCAGGTAAATGGATGGAGTTGGAGAATATAATGCTAAGTGAAGTTAGACAATCCCAAATAACCAAATGCCAAATGTTTTCTCTGATATAAGGAGACTGATTCATATTGGGGTTGGGAGGGGGAGCATGGGAGGATTAGACAAACTGTAAATAGGGAAAAGGGGTGAGAGGGGAAGGAAGGGGGCATGGGGATACGAAAGATGGTTGAATGAGATGGACATCATTACCCTATGTACATGTATGAAGACACGGATGATGTGAAAATACTTTGTTTACAACCAGAGATATGAAAAATTGTGCTCTATATGTATAATATGAATTGTAACGTATTCTGCTATCATACAAATTAGAATGAACAATTTTAAAAAATCAATTGCCAAGGTCGTAGGCAAAAAAAATTATAAAACTTTGAAATGGGCTATCAAAAATCAACATGGAGAGGGCAAGTACAATTATATTTTAGAGCATTTTTTCCCTTAACTTTATAATTGTTATCATTTTGAAATAGCTTGTTCTAACCAAAAGATGTTTTTCATAAGCCTCATGTTAATCTCAAAATAAAAATCTACAAGAGAAAAACCAAAAACAACAAGGTAGGAATCAAAACAGATTCCTATTGTAAATTGATTAACCAGGAAGGAAGACTGTAAGAGAGGAAGGAAGAAAGGAACTACAATGAAATAAGAAAAAGAGTTACAAATTAAATTAATTAAATTCACCAATTAAAAAACAGGGATGAAATATCATCTATCTGAATGGAATACCCATATCTATATCAGATAAAATAGACTTTACGTGAATTTAAAATCATTATTCAACACTAAAGGGGTTACTTCAGCAAAAGGAGATAATAATCCTTAACATATATGCGCCCAATATAGGAGTACCCAAATATATAAAGTAAATATTAATAGACATAAATGTATAGATAGAAGTCAATACAATAATAACGGGCAATTTAACACTCCACTGTCAGCAATGGATAGATCATCTAGTCAGAAAAATAACAAAGAAATATCATAGTTAAATTTCACTCTAATACAAATGGGCCTAACAGATATCTATAGAAAATTTTGCACATCAACCTCAGATACACATTCTTCTCAACAATATCTGTAAAATTCTCCAGGATAGGTAATAGGCCACAGTAGAAAATTCAACACTTGTAAAAGTATTAAAAACATTGAATATGTTTCCTTACCACAATACAATAACTAGAAATCAATAATAAAAAAATTGGACATTTTATAAATGTATAGAAATTTTAAAATTTACTTTTTAAAATCTTTATTTAAATTGAATTTATTTTAACCAATACATAAAAACATAAAAATTATACATATTAGTAGGGTTACCTGAGATGTTTTATACATTGGTAGAATTTTAAATCAGATTAAACATTTGTATCTTCTCAAATTATCAATTATTTATAGTAAAAAATGTCAATATGGATCATGGGGAAATAAAGAGGAAAAATAATTTCTTGACATGAAGGAAACACAACATACTCACACCTACAGGTCCAAAAAAAAAAAAAAAACAGTACAGAGAGAAAAGTGTATAGAAGACATATCCTGCCTATGTTAAAAAGCAGAAAGATAGCAAATAAATAACCTATTGCTACACCACAAAAATAAATTAGATAAACAAGAAAAAAATCAAACCCAAAATTAAAAGGAAAGAAAGAATAAAGATCAGGACAGAAACAAATAAAATAGAAACAATAATATAAATCATCAATAAAACAAAGAGCTGATTCTTAAAAAGTAATCAAGGATATTAACAAATTGACATATAAAAATAGGTAGCACTGTCATACACCAATAGCAAACCATCTGAATTAGAAATCAAGAAGGCAATCTCTTTTGGAAGAGCTATAAAAGTGTGTAGCTGGGAAATTTTTTAACAAAAGAGATTAAAGATCTCTACAATGAAATCTATAAAATATTGTTGATATACATTCAAGATACACACATAACATATTCCAGACATATTATATTCATGGGTTGGAAAAGTCAGTATCATTAAAATATCTCCTACCCAAAGGGTTGCATAGATTCAGTGTAATATCCATCAAAATAACAATGACATGAGTTGCAGAATTAGAGAAAGCAATCGTAAAATTTGTAGGAAATCTCTCTCTCTCTCTCTCTCTCTCTCTCTCTCTCTCTCTCTC